ACCCAAGGACGCATGGTGCGAGCGCTGCGGGAAGCTACTTACCCGTAAGGGCCTCCTCGAGCACAAGCGCCACGTAAAATGTGCGCCCGCTTCGAAGGCAACGCCGCGCAAGTGGGACAGAGAGAGCGCGGTGTAAATACTGCCACCGCTCCTTCCATAGTTCCAATGGTTTACGCGTTCACGTCTCGACCCAACACCCTTCCGAGTACCGCCCAACAGCATGAAGGCACACCGCTCGCCCCTCAAGCGCACCAGCTCACATGGCAAGACCGAGGGCAAACGCGAACCCTCGAAAGACGCGCGCCGAAGCAGCGGTCATGCAGGGAAGCGCGGCGCGCCTCTGGAAGCACAGCGGTCTCGGAAACCCAACGGCAAACAGAGCGAGGTGTCTCCCGTGAAAACGCCTAGCGTGGCCAAGCTCGAAGCCATGATCCAGAAGAGTGCAGACCCGGACACGGCACGGCGCGTCTGGGAGGAAGTACTGCGTCGACAGCGACTGCAGAAAGACATCCCCAACGTCAGGAGATAGCTTGTGGCCGCACAGGCGCTCAGGAGATACCCTGGCAATGTCGGTCCATCAGCAGCGGTGGCCCAGGCAATATGGTGGGTATGTGCCAGCGACCAGGCAATATGGATCGCATTTTTTTGACCACGATCTGGTCGGATTCGGGGCTTTACCTTTTTTTCGGCGGCGGACCGTGCTAACACTTCCCGCGGTGATATACCGAGCCTCAGAATTTCTTTGGGCATAAGCACGCGCCAGCTCGACTTTTTCTGGACCGGAGCTGCGGCGCTGTCGAGCCCCAGTCTTTCTCACGATGTCGGGCCGAGGCTTCGGCCACAAATTCTGACCGCCCCGCACGGCTTCTGAAAACTACCCGCAGCGCTGGAATCAAAGCGCGCCAAGTCGACTTGTCCGGCCCAGCGCGTCGAGACACTGTCGGGGACCCAACTTGTCTTACACCGCGGGGCGATTCTTCTGAATCTGCGAGGCGACGTGATCAAGCCCCAAATTTTCTCACGCTGCCGCGCCGCGGCCTTGGCTGTGTCTTCTGACCGAGGCACACGGTCATGGAAATAAACTTCCACGGGGCGGCAAATATTGCGCCTGCTGCGCGATAATTTGGACACTGTGCGGTTGGACCAGATTGTTCCCGCTACGCTGCGGTTTCTCCGCGAGCGGAAATCTTGGATATTCTGCAGGAGCAATCAACAAATTGACACCAGTCGCACCGCCCGAGGATGTGATGCGCCCCTGGAGAACTCCATCCCCACGAGCTAGATATCGCTTGCACCACCGCTGCAGATGAACCGAAATTGCCAGGCAACTTATGGACCCTGGCCAGAGAGTGTCTTGCTGGGCCAAGCACTGCGCAGACCCAGCGCCTGACCGACACACAGTCGGCCCTGCGGAGATTTCCTTAGCGCAGGACTCAAGGCTTCGCTTCTGATCTTGAATGTAAATGTCTTCGAGGTGCCAAAATACCACACGCCGTCTGTGAAAATACCACACGCGTAGGCCCGCGGAAAGGTCAAATGTTCAGGGAATGTGCAAGAAATGTCCGAATTGGTGCCACGGGCGGGCCGCCAGCCTTCGGGAAAACAACTCTAGGCGCGGGGGGAAAATGTCTGGATAAGCGTCGGGGCTTGGTGAAAATTCCACACGGGCACGCCGTCAGCACTTGGGAAAAATCAGCAACTCTGCTCAGTCTTGCCCCGAGCACTCGGAGAATCTGAGGGCAGGCTTCTCGCGCAGTGCCTGGCCGAGCATGGCCTCTCCCTGCCAAGGGTCCAGCGGTTCGCGCGGCGCAGCGCCTAGTCCCTGCGGGGCATTTCTTGTGATCCCTAACTCCTGTGTCCGCTAACCCTGGCGACCCCCAGCCCTTGTGATGCCTCGCCCTTGTGACCCCATACGGTTATAAGGTCACAAGGTCACAAGGTCACAAGGCCATAAGGTCACAAGGTCACAAGCTCTCAGGGTCAGAAGGTCGCAAGGTCATAAGTTCACAAGGTCAGAAGGTCACAACGTCATAACGTCACAAGGTCACAAAGTCATAAGGTCACAAGTTCACAAGGTCATAAGATCACAAGGTCTGAAGGTCACAATGTCACAAGGTCACAAAGTCATACGGTCACAAGGTCACAAGGTCATCCCTCAAAGACCACCTGGCCCTTGTGACTCCAGCCCTGGCGCTGGGCCTGGCCCATGTGCTCGGCCTGGACCGAAATCAAACCCGAAATCAAGCACAAGGTTTTCACACAAGAGGCTGCCGCAGGGGGGGTAAGGGTTGGCTGGCTAGAGTTCGAGCAAAGCAATTCCGCTTCTTTTGAAATGAACCTTTTAAAACTTTGACCAACGCCTTCTGCCACCGATGTCACAGATTTCTTCGCATAAGGAGCGGCAGCAGCTGGCGGCAGCAGTTGGCGGCAGCAGCCAGGGCGGCAGCTGTTGGCGGCAACAGCCAGGGAAACAGTCGAAGCCTGCGACACCTCTTGGTGTTTTCCCCAGGGATCGGGAAGCGCAAGAAGCTGGGAGCCGCCACGCGCTCGGGACTGGGAGGCCAGAAGTTCCCGGGCAGACGGGAGTGGCAGGGAGCAGCCGGCAGCAGCCTGGCGCTGGGCGCCGCTCGCGACATGCCTAGGCGGGCGTGCTTGCCCAGGAAGCGCGGGAAACAGGGAGCCGCTGGGAGAGTTGCCGAAGCCTCGCGAGGGGGGCAATACATCATCGCGGATCTTCTACATATGAGCCCGCATCTGGTTTGGTTAACCATTTTGCTTGAGCCATGCAAACGACCCACGAATCCCCAACCGACCTTCCTCGCGCGAGACACCTGATGAGGAGCGTCGACGCACGGTTCTGTTCGGTCATGGTAAAGCTCATCCTCTGAATGGCGACGCCCGAAGAATTCGAGTTGGCTTGCCCGGATTGCGATGGGCCCGGTCTGTTCGCAATCCGGGATGGACACCGCTTGCGAACGGGTGTGACGAGCAATCTTTCCCGCTTCGCGCGGCGACAACGGACTTCTGTCCGTCGCATAGCGAATCAACCTGTGCGTGGAGGTCGCTGTTCCGTTCCCTCCGAGGGCTGATTCCAAAGGAGTGTCAGTTTGAAGCCGGTGCTGCGCGCGACGTGACCCACGGCATGCTCGAGGCTGCGCGAGGAAGCGTCCTTACTGCTTCAGAAAGCCATCGCCGCGCTGCTTCAGAAATCCAACGCCGCGCTCAACGCTTTCGCTCATCAGTGAGAGGCGAGTCTGTGGCCTCTACCCGGCAACGGATTTGTTAATCAACTGCCACGAAAATGATGTGATAGTACAATGACGCAGCAATGATTGAAGCAGCAATTTCCTACAACTGCGAGCCTGCGCGGTCAATCAGAACAAACATGAATCGCAGGAGGCTATATGGCACTCAAAGCCATGCCAGTGATGTCACAGGCAACCTCTTTGATATATTATGTAAATCTTGTCTGTCAGCCACGAATGCCGGAGAAATCTATTCAAACGGGCAGTAAGACAGCCACACCAGAACTTTTTGCGCGCTCCCATTGCGCCCTTCTAACCTCTGATGGCTTGTCGGCTCCTCTTTCCCGGGTTTCTCACTGGACTTTCGCGAATGGAGCGAGGGCGTTCGGCTCTTCGGCTCGCCATGTCGCGGATTCAGCAACTCACTGCTGCTTCTTCTCGCCTGAAGGGCAAACATGCGTCGGCTCTGGATTAGTCGATCGCATTTCCAGTCTGTTGAACCCAAAAGCCAAGATGCCAAACACACGGAATGAGTCAACACCAACGACACAGAGGTTTGGGTAAGGACGGTTTCCTAATCATCCGATCCTGCTAAAGGGGTCTCCAACAGACCTCAGAACAATTTTTCTGCGCCTTGCAACTCGTTTGAGTCACCCGAGTCCGTGGTGTCTGAGTCGTCCAGGTCGCCTCTCGCAACTGCAAGCAGCCTCAGTGACATGAGCGCTGCGCATGGCACTCCCCTGCGCCCTGTTTTCTGAAGAGTAGCAGCAGAAAGATGGCGATGTCAATGTACAAATCCGAAAGATTCCAGTAAAAGGACGTGTTGATCACGCCCTGCAGCTGCAGCAGCCAATAATCAATAACCTTTGCTGTGCTTCACAAGACATGCTCTTCTACTTCTGTTGCCCAAGCTGGCGAACACCCATTGAGCAATTGTAGAACCCAGTGGCAAAAACCCGGGGCTGAAACATCACCTCAAGAAAACTCACACATCAATTCGGTTCGTCTAAAAAGTGCAGTCATCGCCCAACACGGCCTGGCACGTGCCGGTGTAATGCGGAGCTTGACAACCAAATTCAGCCAGGTGGCGCCGCCCACACTGAGCCGGTCGACCAAATTGCCGGCTCCGCCGGCCACCAGGAACAGCAAGCCCCAGTGACCACACCTCGGACGTCATTCGCGGACGTCATTCGCGTGGGGATTGGTCTACCAGACCACAGGGAAACCTAAAGGCCCTAAAGTGACTTGGGAATTTTGACAAACACCAATTTAGGAAGGTAGCAACCTCAGCTTCCCACGTGCTGGCCACCCGGTGCTGCGCCCACAGCACGAAGAAGGCGCTGAAAAGGACCCCGAGGCAAATCATCAGCGTGGAGCCGTGCGGGCCTAAGGCCCTCTGCACCGAGGGGAACCAAAAGCCCACAGCTGAGCCCTGGTTCAGGTGGTACCCCCATTCGATCCTCGCAGAGATCAAATCCTTACAAAGCTGCTGTTTCTTTGGATATCCGGCTTCAAAGAAATTCTACCCAACACCACAAGTGTCACCTCAGGACGTTTCGGACGCTCATCTCCTCAGGTGCTGCTGCGGCAGCTGCAGTTCCAGCGAGCCTTCCAGCGCCTGCTGGTGGCTTCGAGCCTTCAGGAGCACCTACGGTCGAACTGTGTGCAAAATGACAAGATCCCCAGACGAGAAATGGACACATTCACCCAATTTCACTTGAAATAGTCGGTGGGTGGGTGGGGGAGGGTGACCCTTTCCAAGAGCCAATTGCCTTCCCCCCCCCCACCCCACGATATTATTCAACCATCCTGGAAGGCGAGCGGTGGGCGGGTCTGGTAAAAGGCGACTCATGGGTGTGAATGCAAAGCAGGGGCACTACGATGAACATCATCTGTATGAGGATCCTATGATTTTGGAGGGGGGTGCCTTAAAAGTCCGAGTCTGAGGTTTGTCGACTCCTGCCAAGCCACGGAAGATGCGAACCACAGGCGGGCTCCCACTAGGAACCCGCAACAGAGTACGAGAGCTACATGACATCGTGTGTGTCTTTGTTTAGGGCACTTCTTTTGAAGGAACACCAACCATTTCGAGGCTCCATCTTGAGAATCCGCAGTGGCAACATGCCAAGCGGGGATGTCCGGCCTCAGGCACCAGAAAGGCGAGCACCCAGATCCAGCGCGTCCAGTGCATGGCACGGGGTCACTTCGGCCAGGGTGCGGCACACTCGAGCATCGGTCTAGGTTACTTGTTTCCAAGGACAGAATCAGAGCGCGTCCCCTGACTGTGGGGAGTTGAGTGAATCCCCATGTCCATCGCAAACGGACCATACACTACTGCATATTTTTGACCAAACCTCTGGTTGCTTTTATGCGTTCGTCTCCCATTGGGGCAACCCTCCAAGATGGCTGCGCTTTCCTTTAGATTCCCTTTCAAGCAACCACAAGAAGGCTCAAAGGAACCGCATGCCGAGAGCCTCACAAACTTCGTTGAACCTCATGGATTTTGATTGGGGTGCAGAACTTCTCTGTGATCCGTCTCCCTATGAATGAACAATCAGAACCAAACATCTGCACTTTCCCGATTTTCCGCCAGCGGAACCAGCGGCAGGCTAGTACTCCGCAAAGTTTGTATGTCCGGTAGCCTGCGCAGGTTTTGGGCGCAGCCTTCGGGCTGGGCTGAATCCGGGTGGTCCTTTTGCCTTCCCCTTCTACGAAAACTCCCAATATGGTTGTGTGATGGCGCAGGCAACAACGAACCTAGAGTCGTAGTATACACCTTCCACACTGCCATGTGATAGGTCCATGTGAGGCGAAGGTACTGCAATACGTCATGAGCGCGGTAAAGCGAACCTTGGATCAAGGAAACACACCTCGGCCCCCTTGCCCCCCTTGGATGTTCTGGAAACCGCAAAGAAATTCACTTGAAAGTGAGTCGGTGATTGTGAAACGAGCCGGAACGTGAACCCACCAAACCAGAAAGTGAAACTCGCTTTCCTTAGTACTGCACACATGCGCAAGCAAATGGAAACAAAAAACAACCGCCTTTCTTAGCCATGTTGAACTTAACAACATCGTCAGCTTCAAGAAGGTCAAACAGAGAGAAAGCCGACTCAGCTCGCCTCGTGTGGGTTCATGCTGGCACGGCGCGGGGTTCCCTATGGTTCCACTCGCACATTCTATGCGCCCCATATCCAAAACGTGCACTGAACATTCTAGGAGCAAAGTTCAGGCAGTTAAGGGCAATCTTTCTTCATGGCTGTTGATGAATGAACATAGCTGATTTCAATGAAACACACACAGATGCGCTCAACTGGCGGGGCTGGGTTATTGAAGCAACATGAAGAGTCCCGCTACACTGAAGTTCCCCGAATCGGGCGGCAAACTGCCGTTTTTTGACCTGGCATGGAAGGGAAACAAGACTACCTAAACGCAACAGGGGGCAAGCCTATGATTCTTGGAAACACCCACACACACGCACAAGGGCGTGCTAAAATAATTTGGGATCGATCTTTCTTGGGCTTTTCGGCTCCCCCTTTTCAGGACATCCCTGGTGTTGGTACTGCTCAGGAAGTGTACGTACACTTGGTTTTGCCCTCCGATATTGGCTTTTCTATGCTATTAGATGTGTTGAGCCAATAGCTTGCCACGCTTGCCGTTTCGTTTGGAATGTCACAAATGGCAGCGACCGTGTCAGCCAGCATGCCCCTGAATTGTCAGCGAATAATGACTTGCCATTTTCCCAGTATCGATCAATGTGATCGACGCGTGCTGTTGCGCAAATGCTGCTTACAATAGCCGGTCCTATATCCTATTTAGCCCGGAGTGTCATACATCAAACTTTGAACCTGGCCAGCCACCAACAGCATTGCTATGACGATGACTCAGATCAGAAGTCTTGGAGAACAGCCACACTCCCAACAAGGTCAAAACCTGCTTTCCCTGCAAAATGGGGAACCATTCCAGTGGCCCCGTTTGGACTGTGTGTGAAACTTCCCACAAAGGTTCTTCCAACAGGGTGCCCTACATTTCCGGCCTAAAACATGGCCCAAGGAACTGGACATCTTCTGAGCTCTTCCGCAAGACCTGGTGGCCTCGCCTGGCCTTGGCATGTTCCACGGCATCTTCTTGGCCCGTGAGGCCCTTCTGACAGCTGGTGCACCGCAACGTGAAGTTGCCCGTGTCGGTGAAGCTGCCTGGGAGTGGGCGGGGGGGTTGTGCTCAAAATGGGGGGGGGTTGGATCCCATTCAATCCCATGTCATTCTCAAAAAGCGGGTGGCAATCTGCCAAGCCCATACCGTAAAACCACGAGAAAACATCGAGATCTTCGCTTGGCTTGTTGCCAATCCGCACTTCCTAGAAAGGATTACGTAAGGGAAGGGAGGGTTACCTTTGAACGAGTCAGCCACTTCGAACCCACCTGGTCACCTCCATTCCTTTTCTCGGCCTGGTTGATTCGTGGCTGGATGGCAATCAAATACAGTGATGAATCGAAATGATTCTGCAATTTCGCCATGGTCTACGCGGCCCAGCCAAGAACATGGCGGTCAATCTTATCTTTTACCGGTACTGGCGGTCAGAACGCTCCACAAAGCGCCCGAAACCCATGGACTATGGTCTGGGCACGGGCCTTCCAAACCCATCCCCCATGGAGCCACCTATGGCGTGGGGTTTTGGCGCTCAGGTTTGCCTCACGACGGATGGCTCCCAGTTCAGTGGCAGTCTTTCACCCCACGAGGAACCTTAAAAGAACGTTGAACAGTCCAAAAGCTGATGTCAAGAATATGCAAGACGGGAAATAGTGGGAACCCTGGAAAAGCGCACATGGATTTCCAATTCTCCCTGAAGTAAGCAAAGGAAGACAGCGGGGAGCGCTCAAGGGCCCCCTCAAACTTGAGGTGGCTGTTGCTCTTGGAGTCAAGACGAGCTGCGCGCTGCATTCGCCTCCTGGCTCACATGATGCACGCTGTAGCATCTGTGCTCAGTGCAAAGGACACATTGTAAACATGTCCCCTGGCCCCCGATGCCCCCCGCGAGACTCTTCCAAAACAGTTGGATGATGTGCTCTTGCTCTTAGTAGACAATTTTCGCAAAACAAAGCAATCCCTTCCAAACCAATTACCCATTGCGATTTTAACCCCGGAAACGATATTATCTTCTTTGTAGCTGGCGTGGCACATCCCGGTCTCCTTGGCAACCTGCATGGCCTCTTCCATCACCGCTTCGTCACTCGGCTCGAAGAGTGTGACATCAGACTGTTGATCTGGCGAAGGCAATGGGATCCGAGAGAAAAGGGCATCCATGCAGAAGGCGTATTGTCCAACGTTATAAGCCTTCTTGGGTGAGGTTCATGATCATCCTGCAGAACCATGGTTTGACAGCCATGGTTTGACAGGGGCTTAAGTCTGGCAGGTGCTCGCAACCACCGACAGCCCCGCCTGAACCAACTCGCCTGACGAGCACGTCGTAATGGATGCCATCGTAGATGAGCAGAGCTCGCTTTTTGAAGTCTGCCGGTGGCCCAAAACAAATCCGCCAACTGCCAAACAGGGAAGTGCCAAAAGAAAGCAAGGGAAGCCGACTTTGGAGTCATTCGGATGGCGTCCTTCGGAAAGCAAGTGCCCAAATGCAGATCAAACTGTTCCCAGCCACGTCGAGAGCACCACCCGGAGAGCCGGAAAAGGGGGAGGAGGCAAGGGCGGCTTTCCATACAGAGGGCCTCCCTTCTTAAACATTAATATATAACTATATATATACATATGTTTGCACACTTTTTTTCTTTTCTTTTTTTTTTTACAATGTATATATATATATAGTATAAGTCCATCTGCAGATTGTGGATACTTGAGTCCAAACTTCAAGTATCACCATGTCATCCTGCCCGGGGTCGGCCCTGTCAAGGCGCTACTGCCCTGTCCAAAGATGTCCACCCGCAGCGACTGAATGTCGAAGGCTGCGAGCTCCTGGAGGTTAGCTCAGGTTTCCAGCCAAAGTCGGACATAGTTGCTAAGCCGTTGCAGAGGACAAAGCTGAAAGCACAGGGCTTGCCCGCAGTTAATTTACGCCGGATGGTGGGGCAAAATGGGTGCGAAATGCGAAGTGGTCTCATGCAAAGACTTCCCCAAGACCTCCCAAAGCAAACATCTAACTTTTAAGCCTTGTTTTAGGGCTGATGTAGCGCTCATTCACCCCCAAATTTTATTCTTGACTAGCCCCCAACCTAATTTAAAGTTGCACTTCAGGAGCCTTGGTCCGTTTCGGAGCTTCGACACATCGACTCATCTCCGTCTGGAAGTGCTCCGCCAAGATGGCGAGCTCAATGCCGCCGCCCCAGTGCTCGCTGTCCATGATCCTGGGCGAACGCGGAGTTCCTTTTCTCTTTCTCCTTTCTTCCTTTCTTCTTTACTTTACGGCAAAAATACAAGGGCAACAAGGAGGGACCAGGCGTCCTTTGCGTCCTGTTGGACGAATGTGGATGCCCTTTTGTATTCCTTCTGGTTTATCTCAAAAGGGATGACAACTCCTCTTGCATCTGTGCTGCGAATCCAATTTGGGAGCAACACCACAGGAGGTTTGTTAAACCCTTCTCAATGGAAATGCCAACCAAAGAAATGGTAAAATCCAGCCCGCAGGCTTGGGTTGAGACCATCCCCAATTCAACCAAAGAGTTTCCAGACCTTACTGGGCCCGGGCTTTAAGGGACGGTGAAGGGAAACCACCTATTTTGCGCCTTGGGAGTTGGACCCTTTTTGGACTTGTAAGCGAAACCAAGTTGGAAATTTGTTGGGGCCTTCTTAGAGACGAAATCATGTAGCGCCTCGAAGCATGTCCGAGCCACCAGTCCGCATAGGCCTCCGGGTCCTTTCCCAGCATCGCTTCGGTCCACCTGGGCGTCCGGTAGGTGCGCCAAGCCTTCCGTTTTGCCTTTCATTTGAACAAAGGGTTTACCACTCAAATGGTATCAGGAACTCCGAGAGTGAGTTGAAGCAGAACATCCTACAATAGTTTTTGGCGGACTGGGAATTGGAGGCTTCCTGGACTCAAGCGTTGCATTGAACCAAATGACCTCCGGCCAAGAAGTGGCTGTGGTGGTGGTTCATTGTTGATTAGTGACGCTGGTCCAACATACCTGCAAAAAGTGGTTTCTGGTCGGAAACCTTCGCCATGTTCCGAAGGCCAAAGAGCAAAGGATAATACAATCCACACCTGGTCGTGCTCCTCAAAACCAGCGGTGCGCCCTTTGCATCTTCCTGCCAAATTCAAACCTTCTCGGCTGATGGAATCAACCACCAATACCTGGATATAGAGCATTTGTTGCTGTCTTTGCTTTGCTGTTCCCCGGCCCTCAACAACCTTTTGGAACTATAAAACACTCATGTTTGTTTCCTCCGAAAAATCCTGAACAGTTTGGAGGGAAGCTGTAAATGAACCTTTGGTCCTGCAAAAAGTGATCCACGTGTTGGTGCTTGCACACTTTGGGACATGCAGCATGCTGTACTATCTCGATGTCTGTCCTCGGGCCCTATAGAGGACAGCTGTGCTACAAGAGTCACAATCAAATCCTGGGGTTAAACATGGTCTGCCCAAACCCATGGTACGGACTCCAAAGGGCGGACATCCTCTGCCATTTCTGCATCTACAAAGATCGGTTTTGAGCGGATACCTCACGCGTCGCGAATCCATCCAAAGCGCACATCCGGCGAAGAGATCACTACCGCCGCCACCATATCCCGAAGCTCTCCGCTGGAATCTGGGCGCCGAAAAGGTATTCGCCATGAGCCACGAAAGGCCCCCCCCGAAGTAGGAAAACCGCAGGGCAATCTTTGTAAATCTAGGAAACCGTGATGAAAACGATGAATAACTATAAATAGCATCAAGGAAATCGGCATACCATGAATAACCATGATCTTTCAAACGCAAAAACATGAGTCACCATGAATCACAAGTAAAACTGCTCGAGGCCTTCACCAATAACCTGAAGTGTACGTAGGGACCACAGGACTGTGAATCGAATCCTCACAGCGCGGATTTCAATGGCCCGCTTCGGACCAAAGCGCTTCTCTTGCTCTGAAACAAAACCTCTGCCATATGATTCGTACTCGTTGCAAGCTTTCGGTAGCCTGGGGTTGTCTCAAGTGAAGCCATCCCGTCTGGCAAACTCCGAGCGCGAACGCGATGCCTCCCATGGCATAGGCCACGGAGTTGAAGAGGCAGGAGTTGTCCGCCGGAATGATGTGCCGCACCACTGCCGCGGATGGTTGAAACGCCGTTTTCTCCAACGGAGACCCCAAACAGATCGCGCAATTTGATATGTGTTTCAACATGTGCTGTTTTAATCGTGCGCACGACCTTGCACTGCGAATCGCCTTCAATTGGCCATGACATCACATCGAATGCAGGGAGCTAAACTCGGCCATGATTCCATTTTCGCGGACCAAACAGATGCCGAAGCGCACAACACGCACCATCTAAAGCTGGCAACATGCCTGCATTTCTTCCAACAAGTATGAGCTCGCATATGATCGTGCACAGCGCACGCACAGGAACAACTGTGTCTCGGTCTTGGATTCCACACGCGCCCAAGACAAACACAACCAAAAACAAAAACAAGGCAACGGCTCGGTGAATGATCCGATTTTAAGCGCTGGACCGAACTGTCTCAGCAAAATCCCACAAAACACAGCATGGCAGAATATGAGACCTGGGAACACACAAACCTGTAGCTTTGTGCTGGAAATAAAGCCCCACGCCAGGCGACCTTTATCACTGGGCCTTGCTCGCCACGCCCCCCAATACTTTGCACAAGTCCGGTTTACGCGCGTGCAAGCCAAGGTCGCGTGGCGGATGCAACTTGCCACGAGAAACTTTGCGCGAAGAATTTGGGAGCCAAATTCGGAAATTGGGTGCTGAAGAGAAAATTCGCAAATTGGGTGCTGAAGAGATCACACGGCCCCGAAGGAAGCTGTCGCAGGCCTCTTGCCATGGCCGAGATCGCATGCCCGAATGCCTGAATGCGCCCGGTGTGTAGGCCTTGCTGTTCGAGCTTTGGAACATGCAGCTGGATGCCTCGAGGTATACACTTTTGCCTGCTCCAGTTTTCCTGGAGGGGGGGGGTCAAAGGTAAAGTCGAAACCCACCCTGGATGCGTCCAACTGCGCCGCGCCGGCTCACGCATGCCACAGATCGCAATGCCTGATGTGCGATGATTTCTGCGCAATTCGTTGTAGCTCCCGCTATCGAACAAAGGCCTGCAAGGTTCCACGTACAATCATTATTCTCATGGGAAGATCATATTTCTAATTATTATCCCCGTGTAAACTCCATGTCTGAAATCCCTAGCTCGCTGCTTTACTTTGTGCACATGCTCTGTGAGTCTGGAGCCAAGCATCCGGCAAAAAACTGGAGCCTGCCGAACGGGCTCTAAGCCTGGCTGGAAACTGCACATGTCTGAAGCGTGCCAAAAAAGCCCTCTGCTTTTTGGGGCTACGATCGAGCTACGGAGAAGGCCACGCTTCTTACATGGCCAACACTTTCTCTGCGAAGCCGGCAGTGTAAAGTCATCTAGTCATCTATCCTCTTGGGATTCTGGCGAATCCATCATTTAAACTGCAAATCCATACCAGTATTGAAATGAAACTGCTTGCTTCCATTCAAACCCCTGGCACCATCATTGAAGATGGGCAACAGGCTCTTTGTACAGTCGACCGGCACCCTTGGAGTAGGCCGGCCGTCTCACCGAAACGGGTCAACCCGACATGCGGAAATGGACCGGACATTGACCTCTTGAAGTTATCACCAAAAGAAAGCAATACCAATCATGAGCATTTCTCGTTAGAACCAACGGTGAAGCCAACAACCACCAATTCAAACCCAGGCTAACACGAGTAGCTGGCTGAGAGATTCCGAGGGAAAGCTACCAGCCGCTGTTCGTTGTTGCTTCCTTGGAATTCTGCAAGATACAAATCAAATGCCCGTAACACTCACTTTCTGAGTAGATTGTGCAATCAAAGTTCTAGATAGACTTCCATTTTCTCCAGAAAGTTGGGAAGTCAGAACACAAATCCTCTCTCCCCACAGCGGCGTTTGAAGGCTCTGATTTATAGAAGAGGGGTCTGAAATTGCTAGACGTACAATTGCCACATGAGTTTATTCTTTTTGAAGGGTACCCTTCTTGGGCTGTTGGAAACGGAGTCCAAAGGGAATGCTTTGGCAAAGGCTTATGACATTTGGAGGCAAACCCACAGTCCACAGGAAGCACCACAGCTCGCGGGGCGGTGCAGCGACAGCCTTTGTAACCATTGCAGAGCAAACCGATGGGTTTCGGGCCTGCTCAAGTGAGTTCCCTTGGCCCACAGAGCACCCAAAGAGTTGAGCCCGTGCTTGATCCCCTTCAGTTGACATTTACTGTTGATGCCCACGAATTCCTTTCCCGCTTGGATTGACCTTCCACGCGTGTCTCGAAATAAATTCACAAATCACGGCTTCCTGAGGCGGTGGGTCTTCAGCAAGGTCTCCAGGAAGAACTCTCTGGAGACCCCAAAGTGAGCCTTCGGGTCCAATACGCCCAGCAGCTGATCCCCTGGCCGGTCGAAAGGCTTGCTCCCTTGCCACCGACACGTACATATATATATATATAAACAGTGCATATATTAATATATGTATATAATATGTATATATATATATATGTGTGTATATATATATATAGATATGTACATCTTATACACATGTATATAGATATTCTCATGGCAGACACCCACCTGTATCTACATGCGGTCAATCACGTGTGTGGTCTGCACGGGCCTCGTAAAAGTACCCTACGTGCCGGTGAGTTTGAGCTTGTTGACACATCTATGCTGGACAATTTCTAAATGATTTAACTATCCACACCATAAACCCAAAACAGACTCCGGTTTTGATTCCGAGTTATGCACTTTTTGATATTGGGTAAACACAGAGAAAGAGATAATTTTCGTTCAAAACACGCCCTGGCATAAATAACTAATAACTGATCGACTTAAAGAGAGGGAGAGAC